GCCTTACTTAAATCCATGTATACCACATCCGCTGCACTACCTTCGTCCACGTGTTTGGTCACCTCTTCAAAGAATTCAATAAGGTTTGTGAGGCATGATCTACCCCTCACAAATCCAAGCTGACTATCACGAATCAAACTGTGCCTTTCCAAGTGATCATAAATCCTATCTCTCAGACCCCTTTCCAATAATTTGCCCACCACTGACGTAAGACTAACTGGCCTGTAATTTCCGGGGTTATCCCTATTCCCTTTTTTGAACAAGGGAATGACTATTGCCTCTCTCCAATCTTCCGGCACTATATCCGTGGACAGTGAGGACGAAAAGATCATCGCCAAAGGCCCTGCAATCTCTTCCCTCACTTCGCATAGAATCCTTGGATAAATCACATCAGGCCCGGGGGACTTATCCATCTTCAAGTTCCTCAAAATTCCTAGTACATCTTCCTTACTAACATCTATCTCCTCTAGCCTACCAGCCTGTTTCACACTGTCCTCCCCTACAACTAGGTCCCTCTCAGTTGTGAATACCGAAGAAAAGTATTCATTAAGGACCTCTCCTATCTCTTTAGGCTCCGTGCACAAATTCCCTTTACAATCCTTGATCGGCCCAACCCTTTCTCTGGTAATTCTCTTATTCCTCACGTACGTGTAAAAAGCCTTGGAGTTTTCCTTGATCCTATCTGCCAATGTTTTCTCATGCTCCCTTCTAGCTCTTCTGAGGTCTTTCTTTAGCTCCTTCCTGGATAACTTGTATCCCTCTAGAGTCTTTTCCGTTCCTTGTTTCCTAAACCTTACATAAGCATCCTTCTTCCTCTTAACCAGTCGTTCGACCTCTCTTGAGAACCAAGTCTCCCTCACTCGACCGCATCTTCCCTGCCTGCTAGGGACAAACATATCGAGCACACACAGTATGCATTCCTTAAACAATCTCCACATTTCTATAGTGCTCTTCCCTGACAGCATCTGTTCCCATTTTATGTTACCCAGTTCTTGCCTAACAGAATTTTAATTACCGTTCCCCCAATTATAAACCTTACCCTGCTGTATGTACCTATCCTTTTCCATGATTATTGTAAAAGTAACAGAGATATGATCGCTACCACCAAAATGCATTCCTACCACCAGATGGGATTGTTCCCTCCCAGCCGAGGAACACTTCAGTGGTCAAGGGCATTCAGGCTCCAATTGGGTAAGCGTCCTCCAAAGCGGACTTCGAGATACGCAACAACACAAAATCACCGAGCCAAGACTGATAGCCAAGTTCAGCACCCAGGAAGATGGCCTCAACCATGATCTTGGGTTCATATCATGCTACAGGTGACACCACCACACTGTTCTGTATCTGTAAAATCTTCCTTATTGTCCTGTTTTGACAGCATCACCTTGATAAATTGTTATGATTTCTCTATCTTCATTAGTTTGTACAGTTTTGGATTACTTATTACTCTCTCACAAGTACCCGCATGTTTGTACAAACACACAAGCACGCACACATATTCACATACATCTCAACCTATGGGGTGTATCATTTCATCCAAGAAGTTTGCTTATTTGCAGATACATTCTATTTTGTTCAAGAAACACATAATTTGTAGTAACAGTCAGTCAGAGTGGCATTTTATAAATTCCTGCTTTTGGAACAAAACCAGCTTGATTCCAGGTTAGAACTCTGAGACAGATTCTGGGCAAGGCCTCACACCTACAATTCGGTGTCTGACCAGAGTCTGACCTGCCTGTTTGAAGTTTTGCAAATTAGGCAGACATTGACGAAACCTTTAATTATCTCGGGGCAGTGACTTGAAACAGATTCTGGAATTTGCATCTTAATCAATTGAAACTTGAGTCTGCTTTCTAACAGAGTTCTCCATACCCTGCTTCTCCATTTTCTCAAATGCAGGTATGTGTGAATGATTAAAGACTGAACATGAGACAGTCAGCCAGCCATTTTAGGTTGGTTCACTCCACTCACACCAGTTGTATGATCCTTTGATCTCTCTGCCCTTCATCTCTCTGCCTATTAACTGTGTGTCTGTGTGCTCTCCTCTCACTGCACCTGACAGAAGAGCAGCGCTCTGAAAGCTTGTGATTTCAAATAAACCTGCCGGACTATAACTTGGTGTCGTGTGATTTTTGACTTTGTCCACCCCAGTCCAACACTGGCACATCCAGATCTTAAGTGCAAAAAAAGCACAAGAGAAAATTTCAAGGCAGATAAAAGTGGACAAGAAGATTAAAACAAAAAGGTTAGTGAAGACAAATGTAGACCCCTTACAGTCTGAAAAATAAGAATTGATAATGGAGCACAAGGAAATGGCAGAACAATTATGTAATTGCTTTTGTCCTGTCTTCAGAAAAGAAATCATGAATAACTTACCAGAAGTGCTAAGAAAGCAAAGGCGTTTTGGATAGGAGGAAAACTGAAGTAAATTAGAGTCACGTAGTCATAGAGCTGTACATAGGGTCATAGAGATATACAACATGGAAACAGATCCTTCTGTCCAACCTGTCCATGCTGACCAGATATCCTAAATTTATCTAGTCCCATTACCAGCATTTGGCCCATATCCCTCCAATCCTTCCTATTCATATACCCACCCAGATGCCTTTGAAATGTTGTAATTGTACCAGCCTCCACCACTTCCTCTGGCAGCTCATTCCATACACGCACCACCCTCTGTGTGAAAAAGTTGCCCCTTAGGTCCCTTTTATATCTTTCCCCTCTCACCATAAGCCTGCACCCTCTAGTTTTGGACTCCCCTACCCTGGGACATTCTTTGGCTATTTACTCTATCTGTGGCCCTCATGATTTTATAAACCTCTAGAAGGTCACCCCTCAGCCTCCACTGCTCCAGGGAAAATAGCTCCAGCCTATTCAGCCTCTCTGTATAGCTCAAACTCTGCAACCCTGGCAACTTCCTTATAAATCTTTCCTGAACCCTTTCAAGTTCCTACAGCAGGGAGACAGATTTGAATGCTACTTCAAAAGTGGCCTAAAAATTAGAATTCATATAAAAAATGCTGGAGAAATTAATGGGACTTAAAGCTGATAAATCCCCGGGGCCTTATAATCTACATGCCAGGGTACTAAAGGAGTGCCCATGGAAATCATGGACACATTGTTCGTTATCTTCCAAAATTCTACAGATTCTGGAATTGTCCCAGCAGATTGAAGGGTGGCAAATGTAACTCCACTGTTTGAAAAGAAGGTAGGGAGAAAATCATGAATTATAGACTGGTTAGCCTAACATTGGTAATAGGCAAAATGCTCGAGTATATTATGAAGAATGTGATTACAGGCTGCTTAGAAAATAGCAACAGTATGATACAAATTCAATTGGATTATGAAAGGGAAATGGTGTTTGATAAAACAATTGGAGTGTTTTGAGGAGGTAACTCATAGAATAGGTAAGGGTGAACCAATGATGTGGTGTATTTGGAGTTTCAAAAAGTTTTTGATGAAAGTAGGTTACTGCACAAAATTAAAGCATGTGATTGATGATAATATATTGGCATGGACTGGGAATTGGTAGCAGACAGGAAACACAGACTGGGGGAATAAATGGATCATTTTAAGAATGCAAAGCAGTAACAACTTGGGTATCGTAGGGATTAGTCCTTGGGCTCCGGATATTCACAATTTACATCAATTATTTGGATGAGGTAATCAAGCGTAATGTTTCCAAGTGTGCTTGACAGAAAACTACCTAGGAATGTCAGTAGTGAGAGGATGTAAAGAGGGCCTAATTAAAATTGTAATAGGCTTACATTTGTTTTCATTAATCTTTCTTTTCTGTTTACATACTTAAGCTCCTACTGTCTATTTTTGCATTCCTTGCAAGCTTACCCTCATAATCATCTCTTGGTCCTCCTTTATTGACTTTTAAACCTCTCCCAGTCAGCAGCTTGCTACATTTTCTAGCAACTTTATATCACTCCTCTTTGTTTCTAATACTATCCTTAATTTATTTTGTTAACAATGGTTAGGTCACTTTTCCTGTTGTATTCATTTGTCCAAAAGGAATGTATCTGCTATCTATTTGCTCACTCACTGGCAAGTTCAGTGAGTGGGTAGATACATAGCAGATGAAGTATGACTTGGATAAACGTGATGTTGTCTATTTTGGTAGGAAAAACAGAATAGCAGAATGTTATTTAAGTAGTGATGGATTGAGAAATGTTGTTGTACAAAGGGACATGGGTATCCTTGTTACTGGTCACTGAAAGCAAGCATGTAGGTACAGCAAGCAGTTAGTAGGGCAAATGGTATGGTGCATTATTCGTTGCAGGAGGGCGTGAGTACAGAAACAAAAGTTTTACTGCAGCTGTAAAATGCCTCGATAAGACCACATCTGGATTGTTGTTTGCAGTTTTGGTCTTCTTCCCCAAGAAAACATGTACTTACCATAAGATGGGGTACAGCAAATGTTCTGGGAATGAGAGGTTTGCTGCATGAGGAGAGATTGGATTGACCAGGCCTGTATTATCTCTGTGTTTGGAAGAATGAGAGGGTAACTCATTGAAATGTATAAAATTCCGACAGGGCTGGATGGACCGATGCAGAATTGATGTTTCCCCAGCTGAGGGAACCAAAACAAAGGGTCACAGTCTAAAGATATGCAGTAGGCCATTTCCGACTGAGGTGCTGAGAGATTTCCTCACTCAGACAATGGTGAACCTGTGGCATTGTCTACCACACAGAAGATGATGAAGTTCACTGAATATAGTTAAGAAAGAAATAGATTTCTAGAAGCTAAAACTGCCAACAATGTGAGGGGGATAATGGTTTTGAGATCATGTTGAATGGCAGAGAGGGCACAAAAGACTGAATGGCTGGCTCCTGTTCCCTATTTGTTTCTATGCTTCCATGTGCTATTAAGGTGAAAATTTGAAGTTTAAGATATCTGGGGAGTTTAACGTCAGTATGATTTACTTGAAATAATATGTAACAATTGAAAAGCCTTGGAATAGTTGAATTTTCAATCCTTTTCTTGTTATTAGTTTTCAGTGCTGTATATCCTGGCATTTGCAATCATTATGGTTGGATTTGTTCTTTACAACACCACTCCGTCACACGTAGCTGAAGTCCAGATTCAACATCAAACGGCAGCTAGTGGATTTGATGACTCTGTTCGAGTAAATTACATCAATACCCAAGAACCTACCATTCACTTTACCTCCATGGACTACCCTGTGGTTACAGAAGTACAGCTGTAAGGATCCTTAAGAACTGCTTGTAGTGTTTTTAAATTCATTTCTTCTGTTTCTTTACATGCAGATACAATTAAAATTCCTTAAGAGTAAACAGGCTTCCTTTTTTTAAAATAAACATAAGGCAACTATTCAAAGTTTTGGCAAAGAGCAAGTCAACAACCTCATAAGGTAACTATCTTTTACATTGTGCAAATGTTTACAGTACAGAAAAAACAAATCGTGTTCCAGTTCAAAAATAGAACCCTTGCTCCCAGCAGTCTCTCCATGTAAATATTACCGTTTACTGGCTTAGTAGGAGATAAATTTCCGTTTTGTTCAGGCATTGGTTTGAGTTTAGACAGATCAGATGTTAGGGCTGCTCAATGTTTTTCAGGGTCTCAATGGGCAGGAGTGGGTGAGGGTGAATCAGGAAGTGGGGGAGGTCTAATTGGATGAGCTATGCATTCCAGGGACCTTGAGTTGGGTGATGACATAATGTTAGATGTGGTTGACATTTGGCAGTGGTGATGATAGTGTCAGATCCCTTCAGGATAGTGGGTGGAGAATCGATGGTTTGAGGCAAGAGGGGAGAATCTGTTGGGACTGGAGGCTTCGGAGTGAGGAAGGGCAGTTGAGGGGCCAGAGTGAGGGTGGGAGGGGGGTGTGTAAGACTGGTGTCTCATGGAGAGGCTCCTTGGGTAGGCATGTAGATCTAGGAGGAAGCTATTTATTCACTCATCATCTGAATTCACCATGTTTCCTGGAAACCCAGCAGTCCTGAGTTCAGCCTCATTATAGTACTTAAAATTCCTACTCATCTCCTTGAAGTAGTATAAACTGCCTATCCATTTTCCATCGTCAGTTAAAACTGAAATGGGGTGGTTTGGAAGTATGCTTGGGTCAGAGGGCAGATTTTTCAGATGTTAACCACCCCTCACCAAGCATCGCTTCACTATTTTGAAGGTTAAATCCACACCACCATCTTGGGAGGCCAATTTTGCACACTGAAAATTTATTCTCTCAAACAGTTCAAATTAGGCCCAGGTTTGTCTTTCTTTTACAGCAATTTTATGCATAATAGCAAAGTGTGCAACTCGACCGGAAGCACTCAAATAGACCATTAATGCACCTTACGATGAAAAACTGTGGCACCGATAATTTGCGTACTGTAATATTACAATAACTGTTGGAATATTTTACAAAAGGAGTGAGACTGGCAGTAGTTGCTTGAGGGTTCAGAAGAAAGAGCAGGGCCAGGGGTGCAAAATCATGAATCCACATTCTTCTCCTGCTTCCAAACCCTGTCCCCAACTTTTAACCTTTGACAGGCTCCATCCAGCAGCTGCTTGATGTGCTTTGGGTCCTTAAGAATTCAACAGTATAGTATGCAGCAATTGTAATGAGATCAGCCAGGTGAACCTCACAGAAGAGAAGTTCTTTGATTGGGACTGTTAATGGTCCAATCAGGGAGCCCTGGCTGACAGATATTAACAGGGGAGTCAGCAGTTCTGCTGTCATTCTGACAGCTGGCTCTGAGGAAGCCAGATTGGTGTCAAGTATTATGCACATGAAAATAAAGGGTGACTTGTCATTGGGATACCAGTCTTGGTGAAGTTATTTCACAGCACTTGTTCATTAAGTGATACAGTCGTGAGGTAATCACCTTTTGTACTTGTGTTGACATGGAGGGTATTTAGACTTGCACAGAATCAGAATTAGTAACACTCAAAGCTTCGATTCACAACTCTATTAATTTAAAATCTTAACACACAACAAAAGCACAAATTTCTGACACACAAGTGTATTTAAATTGATACATGGCAGTATGCAAAAGTTAGCAATGAATTCTTTTCCCCCATATAACTGATGGATTCTTCTACACACAAAAGTCCACCTAACAAACCTTCCACAGACTGAAGAAGTCATAACTAACATGTTTCCATTGCTTATGAATAAAGTTGGGACATTTTAACCAGGCAGTTACTGCCCTATTTACCACATCACAGATCTAAAACTCATATTTAAACTCAGCGATTCACTTAGTGTTCATCACAATGGCACTCATTACATTTTCCCATATATAGTAGATCCTGAACTTATGTAGCCTTAAGCTAGGGATTCCACATTTATTTTTAACGGATTAATTCCCTCAGTGATTTCAAGATTTCCTAGCTCTCAGTTAGTTGAGTAGTCTTTTGTTGACAGGCTTAAAATTGTTCTCCCTCTATTTTAGCCTTCTTCTTCCCACTCCCATCCCCTTGCAGCATCCTCTTGGCCTCCACTTTGTAGATCCCTCTTTTTCCATCCCTTTCAGACTTCTTTCCTTCATCCGTTTTGAAGTATCCTCTCATGTATTCTCCCTTGCATGCTTCATAATTCCTTCCATCCCCTTTTACAGCCTCTTGCTTTCCCTTACCCCTTCCAAACTCCTCCTAACACACTACCCCACCTGCAGCAGCAGACTGCAAACCTGGGACCAGTTCACAATAACCCCCAAGTTTCATTCTCTGTTCAATGTAGCCCCCCTTCCCTGAACTCAGGTCAATATATCTCTCACCACTGCTCGGCTCAGAGTTAGAGTTTCATCCTTCCCTAGGCCCCCTTCTGGCTCAATGTCTCTTTCTCAGGACTCAACTCAACATTCTTCCCCCACTGCTTCTCCTGGAGTCAGCTCAATGCACTATTTCCTGTCCTAGTATGTAGTCAGCTCATTACAATATTCATCACTTGGATGGTTCAAGGCACATCCCTTCTCCCTGCCCATTCTCTGTACAATGCATCACTCTTGTCAAGACCTGAACTCAGCTCAATGCACCTCCAACTCCTGGGCCAGGACCTGACTCAATCCCCACTGATTCGCCTGGGCTTGGCCAACAACAATCAATTAATTTCCTGCTGCTACTCTAATCATAGGCTGGCTCCCTCAGATCTCAAGGTGACAGGCACATTGATGAACCAATCAGTTGCAAGTATAGGCAAGAAACACACTGTGATTGGAGCAGCAACTCCTCACAGATTCTGTCTGTTTTGCCTATATGGGAACAACCAGAGCCTGATTGGTTGCCACTGGACAAGGGGGTGGTGTTGCTAGAGAATGTAAGTAACTGGCCATTTGTGGGCTGTTTGAGTTTGTAGTAATGGCCATGCATTCCCACTTAACCTCAAATGCAACAGTGCCTTGAGGCCACTATCTCCCAGAAAATATCATCATTTCATCCTCAGCGGTATTTGATTGCACTCATTCATGATGATAAGACCATAAAATGTAGGAGCAGTTGCAGGCCATCTCATCCATCGAGTCTGCTCTGCCTTTCAATGAGATCACGACTGATTTGATAATCCTCAACTCCACTTTTCTGCCTTTTCCCCCTAACTCTTTACTGATTAAAAAATCTGTCTATCTCAGTCTTGAATATACATAATGGCCCAGCCTCGACAGCCCTTCCGGTAAAGAAGTCAACAGCTTCAATACCCTGAGAGAAGAAATTCTGCCTCATCTCTGTCTTAAAAGTATGACACCTTATATTGAGATTTTTCCCTCTAGTCCTAGCTCTCCCCCAATCAAGCTCCCTAAGAATCCGTGTTGCTTCAATAAGGTGTTTCTCATTCCTCTAAATTCCAGTGGGTACAGGCCAAACATACTCAACTTCCCATCATAAGACTGTCCCTCCATACCCAAAACCAGCCTAGTGAACCCAGTGACCATCCCTTTGCTGCTGGGCCCACCTCGCCAATGCTGCCGTCAATGCTGGGTAACATGCTGAACCCACACTTTCCCCGCAACCAGGGGTCCCCAGCTCCACGGCCACCAAGGGAGGGAGGGTTCAGAGCCTGGTGAGGATGAGGGCAACAAGGGAGGGAGGGTCCAGAAACTTGGGTGTTGGGGAGGGGTGGCAAGAGAGGTGGAGCATAGTGGAAATGAAACATGAGGAGAGGGAGGATTCTGAGCCTTGGAGGTTTGGGAGTTGCATGGGAAGGGGATGTCAGGCTTCCTTGGGCAGTAGTACCCTGGACTACGGTAACTCCTACCAGCAACCGAACAAACTCCTTGTGATTCTACACAGCAAGCTGCAAGTAACATGGTTGCTTTAAAATCCAGAATTTCTGCCCATGGGAACTGGGCAAAGCTATTATTCTGATAATTAGATAAGAGAGGGAAATACAGGCCAAAATATGCCACTTGGGCAATGTCAAGTTTGATTAAAGTAATATGATATAATACGTACCAATCCTTCTCTATTGAAGCAGTTCCTCTAGGGGGCACCATCACATTAGTTTAAATGCATATAATGTTTACAACCCTGAGAAGCAACAGTGCATAAAATGTCCTTCGAAAATTCAGTTTTCTTTTCAAAACTCGAACCAAATTACGAAAAACATTTGCATTCTATAGAACAGCAGAAAATTTAGTGCATTTAAGATGATATACCACTTTGCTTTCCTATGATGGTTTTGAGGTTATCGAAGTGAGAATCGTCAGTTAACATAGGCAATTTTATGCTAATAGTATGTTATAATGATTGTAAATCTTCATATTTTCCATGACATATCAAAACAATCAAGAATCTTCTTGCTCAGCTACCTCTTTGTAAATGTTGAATTTTGAAAATGATTTCTCAGTTCTTCTATAATGAACTGCAACCACAGATTGAAACCAGTACTCACTGAGACATACTGTACACTGCTTCTGAGGCAAATCTATGAGCCAAAATATAATTCCCTTTTTACAAGTAGAGACAACACACATTAATTAAAGCTTGCAGGACCTGGTTACAGTTAACAGGGAAAGTGGGCAAGTGATGAAATGCCTGTAAATGGTTCAGAAAAAGCACCCATACTCTGTGATGTAGCATCAGGAGCTGTAGTGGAGTGTTAGATGATGGGAATGGTGGGGTTGGGAGATTCCTTTTTACCCATGGACGGAGGGACAGAAAGTCTCCAAGGTAACCAGGCAACAGTCCCAGAAGAGGTTGCTGAGGAAGCAATGCTTAGACCTTGGATCCCAGGGAATGCCTGCAAAGCCAACATAATGATCTCACCAGAGTTGCTAAATTAAGAGTCTTATTTCTCAGATCAATTACTCTTTCTTCATACCTGAACCACCTGCAGTCT